CTTTTGCTCAGAGAGGAGGATTACTTATAGTGGGGGTGAATTTCTTTGTAAGAGGAGAGGATGTTGTTGAAATGTTGTACTGTGTTGTTTTTTAAAAAGGTGAAATAGAAAAAAAAACTGTTTCACAAAAAGCAAATCAGTATTCATCAACACCTGAGATTCCATACTCACTCAAAAATACTCTTTGGTCCTGAAGCTATTGTCACCATTGAATGTAAGGCAAGTCATAGTGGAGTCTCTTTTTGTTATGTATGAGCCTATAATTGTGACACACTGTCACTTACTTCTTAGACTCAGGCTTACGCAAGCTCTATCGCCACCTAGTGTTACAGAGCTACACCTATTCATCAAAACCCAGTTGCCACTCTTTTTATTTGATGACTTGCCTATCAATTGCAACATCTGCTCTAAATGTAATTCAGTTAATTGCAATTCAGCCAAAACATCATGCAAATTACCGTGGGATTGTATTGGGAGTAAATTGAATTAAACCAGCCATTGTCCATAAGCATGTGCATTATGCTGAAGTAAATATAAAATAGTACTGCAATCCAACTAATTGTACCTACTTTTACCATAAAAAATCTTCATCAGGTTAGATTTTCCCAGATCCATTAAAAAATCATTCCAATATCCTCAACAGATCTACAGAACGTGGTTTCCGTCAGTGCCAAATCAATAACTCTAAATTAATATTGAACAGCAAAACTAATATATATATATATTCTGCAGTAAAACAAAAATAAATTGCAAAGAAAAACAAATTGCCATCTCTTGCAGTGTCTCACTCAGTGTGCAGTAATGAGACTCCATTGCAGAATTTCCATACGAGTTGAAAGTGCAATAACTGCAGTTGTCAGAAACAGCTGTGTTTTGAATGCCAAGGGGCTTGTTGTCTGCAATGTCCTATTAACTCTCAAGTACCAAGGCACCTTCTGTTTGCAACAAGCCAACATGATTATTTTTGGTGCATTGTTATCAAGTTTTGCGCATGCATTTTCCCAAAGCCAGCATATTGGTTTTTATTGCTCTCTTTACAAAAAGTACGGCAATAGGGAGATTTCAGAAATATCATCAATTAATCTTTGTAATGGCAGCTCATATCAGACTTCTATCATGGCTAAAATTACTTTACTGAACAGGAGACATTTTATTGATGTCTCCTGGGGTAAACTCAGTCAGAATTGACCCTGAACAAGGTCACATTTAAAAACCATTCAGAAGATGCTGATTGTATTTTTCCAAGTGTAATGTGATAGTTGATATGATTATAAAATGGACTGAAAATTTGTAATAAATTACATTGTTCCACTAATGTAAAACAGTACCTGTTAACCCTCTCTGGAAGCATTTCAACTTTGACAGTGTTACAGCTTTAGGTGACTGAGCAGTGTCTCTTACATTTTAGATAAAGTTTGTGACACTTGGCAGAGTAAACACTTTCAACTTCAAAGGTCAGAGGATGTTTTTTCTGAGGTCAGGGGGAACCCTTGAGCAGAAACAATTGTAAAGTTTACCTTAGTATACCTAGGTAAGTTGTGGGTTAATGATTGTCAAGGAGCAGTACAGAAAGACACAATATAAGATCACATTAGGAAAGGGAAGAAGAAAGAAAAAGCAGGAAAGAAGAACAGGAGAGACAAGACTCCGGAGAACTCTTCCAAACCTGACTGGAGCTAAGTATTTTAGACTTGTTAAATAATGCCTACCCTCGTGGGCGGAGCGGTGGCACTGTGGCTAAGGATCTGTGGTTGTCGGTTCAAATCCTGTGGTCGGCAAAGGAATCCAACTCCGTTGGGCCCCTGAGCAAGGCCCTCAACCCCAACTGCTCCAGGGGCACTGTACAATGGCTGTCCCTGCACTTTGACCCCAAGCTTCTCTCCCTGTCTGTTTGTCTCATGGAGAGCAAGCTGGAATATGCGAAAAGATTAATTCCTAATCCAAGAAATTGTATATGGCCAATAAAATAAACTCTCTTAAAGAGAGAGTGCTATTCTGTGTTTTTTAGGGAACGTGGGTTTTCTGGGTAAAAGATTCCTCAGTTAGAAACATCCTTCCTGCTTAGGGTGCATTTTTATGGATAGGGTTATAGGCTCTCATTTATTTTGTGGCATTCGGGGTGCAGAGAGAGAGATTTAACTGCAGGTCACATTGTATTTAATTAGAAGCCAGTTTATCTCTTATGTGGCCTCTGTAGGCATCAAGAGTTTTTAATGCTTTGTTGCAGTCTGGGGTTTTCTGGGTGACTAGAATGTTAGGCCTCTGAAAAGTCTTGTTTGTAAATGCTGTGCATAGAGTAACTTGTGTGTTGTTTTGCTGTGTGTAGTGTAGTTTGCATTTTGTCATTGTAATAAATATACAGTATGTTTAACCAAGTGTGTCTGGATTATTACTCCTTTCAACAAAGCTGTACCAGAGAACAAAAAATTCACATGCCTATCATTATACCAACCGGTCGGATATATTCTAGAGAAATCACTTGCAAGTTGGGGGTTATGAATAATTATTTAACTTATTGACTTAACCGCTTGGTTGATACCTGATTTTCACAATTTTTGTAACCCTCCATTTGCAACAGCAGTTTGTTTAATATTGTTGAAGAAAGGAAAGTCTCCTACACATTGAAGGAAAATTTCCTCAAAAGAAAAAAAAATTGTCATGAAAGAAATAATAAAATGAGTTTAGCATGCTGTGGTACAGTGTGAGGAGGAAATTGGTTTATTCTGTTTTTTTTAATTAATTCTCCTATTCATTTCCAGAAGACAATAGCAACTGAAACTTGTTAAGTGTAACTTGATCTTATACTGTAGCATACATTCAAGCAACTAATTTTCAATGTAAATCTGTACTTTTTTTTTAGTTGTGAAGTGAAATGTCTCATTTTTTAAAATGACTGGAATATTTTTTGTAAAATCAACATCCAGATTATTCTTACTGCAAACTAATGTTTATTAGTGTCACGCTAAATTCCCTTTAACATACTGCCTTTAAATTGTACCTGTATTGGAAGAGTTTGTGACTGTGTTTCCTTTTCAACACGGTAGTACAATAAATAAAATACTGGTGTTCAGAAACAAATGAACATTGTGTATACAGTATATCACAGAATTTTCAAATTAAAGTTTTGCAAACCTTTACATTTAGAATTGTATCACACAGATCAAAGAGAGCCACTGAAAGTTTATGTTATTGAGCAATTACCAACAAGCTTAACATGTCTACTTGATATGTCAGTTACCACAGAATCGATTCATTGCTCATTCATGGAGGGAAAATAAAGGCATTACTCTTTCTCTTGGTTTATTAAGTGTAGATTTGTACCCAGACATTAATAAATAAAATGCTGTGATTCAGATGTAGTGATAAGACCTACTGTATTATTACAGTTAGAATTAAGTGTTGCTTAGGATTTTTAATAATCTTTGTGTTGCCTTGACCAAGCAGCTTGGTCTCACTCTGTGTAAGACACAGGGATGTGGCTAAAGAGGCCCCCCTGATAACAGACATTATAAAGCTGTATCCATCTAATGATACAGTATACAGTGCATATTGACTCCAGTAAGTTGTAGCAGGGCAGGCCCTAGCTTTTTGGGGGCCCTAGGCAAGATCTTGAAAAGGGGCCCCTCCAGATCACGAATTTGCGCATACACTTCTATTATCAGCCCCCAACTCAAACATATTTTTCTATTTAGAACAATTAACTAAATTAATTATCTAACTAGAAAATATATAACTTTTATTAACCAGCTTTGAAAAACACATTATGAATTACCTACAAATAAGAAGAAGAAGCACATGTTTTACAAAGATAACACGTATTTTAACATACCTGTCTTTTGACAATACTGTTTCCTCAAAATTATAGCAAATCATAATGTACAAATGACTGCACTAAAACCTTTGTAGAAGGGAGTTGTAGAAATAAATAAAGGAGTTGTAGATATAAATATGAAACTAAGTAAGAAAAAAACAAGTGCACTCAGTAACAAAGAAGATCAGTAAGGCGGAGAAGATGGGAATGTTTTATAAAAAACATTCTATACTGTACATCAATTCGCCTAGATTTTCTAGAGGCAAACTAATCATTATTTCCTCATACGATAATCGTCAACTCATTGCATGATTGATCCTCATGATGGCCAGTCACTGAGACAGGCTTGTGGCATGGTTGACCACAGGTATGTTTTAATCAAGCTCTTGTCTGCTCCTGCCACTATCACTGGTAGAATGATAATCCAAGGGGCTTGCCACAGTTTAGGGTACACCTTTGGTTTTTGGATGCTTTGGGGAATGAAGGTTAGGAACTCCAGTGAGGTCATGTTAGCTGAAGGTAACTCTAGCACGTTTTGAATTTCAATAACCGGTTCCGTCACATCTACATTACATTGATTACCACAGCTTAAGGCAATCACTTAAGGTACCACTTGTTTGTTATTTCCTCATCTGACAGCTCGGTGAAGTTGAACTGGACTACAAACCTTGCTTTAAGTTCTCCAAGGATTTTGAACCTCTCTTCCAAGGACACAATGACATAATCTACAACCACATTGAATAATGTGGTTACTAGTTTTTTTCATGTTATCAGTGGTAGGATCGTCTGGAGCTTCATAAGAAAAATGCCCTTTTGAGCTTTTTAGCCTTTTCTCCTTCAGGATACATTCATATCTTCACACATGTCTTTTGCCGATGCTTGTGGTACAGCAAAGTCAGTATATCAATATCTGACCAAAAATATTTTTGACTTGTTTAGCAGCTAAACTACATCCACCTGTACTGAAGGAGGCTGCATTAGTTTGCTGACTCATTGGATTTTGCAAAGTATCTGTACATCATAGTACAAATCGAAAAGTGGACCCAAACTCCTCTGCCAACAACCGTCCATCAATTTTGAAGACAGGATCTGTGGCTTTGTCTCTGATGTCCAAGAGTACCTGTCTTATTTCAGGAGTCTGGTACAATACAGGCCTACAGCTTCAATGCTTTTCACCTGACTTTCCCACCTTGTTTAAGACCAGATCTTCAGGGTGATGTTGACATGATTCTTCAGGACTGTCCATCTTTGAGATGCAGCTGAAAAGAGAGTGAAAAACTTCTGTACGTAGCCAAAGGATCCAGTAGTACTTTTTAATCTTTGGTGTGTCCTCCAACGTTACAGTTCAAATGATGAAAGACATTGTAATTCGCTCATTTTTAACGGTTTTATCCAGATGTCCTGTGTGGCCACTAATTCCACTTTCAACTTGCCATATATGCTGTCTCATTACTTTCCTAGAAGTTCAGCTGCTTTGAAGAAATTATACATTATTTGGCTAATGTACAATGTCTGTGGATCCCCTTAAAGCAAGTTTCTCTCTGTCAGATACTGAATTATATGCATTAAAAATGTTAGAACGTCTTGCCAATGCTATCTCGCAGCCTCAAGGAGTGAGATCACTTGTTTATCAATTGATTGTCCTCTCTTAAGTTTCATCCCCAATTCTTTTCACATTGACGTGTTTTGAGTGTACAGTACATCATTGTTTTCATGGGCAGAACAGAAGCATTTTTCCTGTCGGCCAGCCCATCTCCTATCAACTTGTAGTTCTTTACGGGAAACAATTTGGAACAAAAGCAGAAGAAGGCATTATTTTTTCTAGAATAGACAAGCCTGCGTCTGTTGATCTTTTCACTTTTGATCAACATTCTTCTGAATGAATGGTGATGGCAGCTTTATCCATCCTATTTTTTGGAAATGTAAAATCTGTTTTTACCTTAAATGGTATTTTGCTTACCAAACCTATTTGAGCCATGTCAGATAGGTTAGATGGCCAATCAGCCAGATCATATGGTGGGGCAGAACTTTTGTGTTGATCTTGACTTTTTTATGGGATTTTGCCTGATTTGCAGGGACTTCAGCAGAAGAAGACCATGACTGATGGTTTTGAGTGCCTAACTTATAGAGAACAAAGAAAGTTTTGTTCCCTCATCCAAAGGTATTTGGGATTTTGTAGAGGAGGCCCCTCCAAAATATTTCAGAAAAGCATCTGTAGTGATATACTGTACTGTAGTTAGAGGATGGGGTTAACGAATTTCATAATACCCCCTTTTAAAGTAATACAGGAGTAACCAAAATAAAAACAACGTGTTTTTACTATATGTCGATAATCGCTGAACAGTCTTTTGTACTGTAAATTCACTTTCATGCTTTGTTCGGCCAAGCAGCACCAATTTTTAGCCAGGTGACCCACACAACCTGTATAAAACTGTTAGAAACATGAATCTGTTAACTTCTACTAAAACACGTCAAGTACTCTTTATGTATAACTAGAAAACTAGAAAACATCCACTAGTTACATGGATCTGAAGAGTCAAAATCAGATGTAATACAAATGCATTATTTCAATTACTTGACTTGGCTTACTTTATAACTAACAAACTTTAACAACCTAGATTAGCACAAAATTGTGGAGATAAACCTGTGTTAACTCAACTATTTCTTCAACTACTTTTTCATTTCAATGATATTAAGACACTACTATGACACAATTGCCCAAAATACCAGAAAGGACACCTACTGTATGAAAGCTGGCCTCCTTTAGACATTTTTGCTTCACAACTTTGTTTATCAGAAACAAACATCTTATTACATACTCAATGATGATTGGTTAATTTTTGACAGAGCTGTCATTATAATCATCCACAGTAGCAACAGGAAGAATAACTATGGGGAATTTGTTGCTCAGAGTTGAACATCTGATTACAAACACATATGTTGTGTTGCACATTATACAGTAGGTGCCCCTATAGTTCGCTTATGCCCAGAGCCAGTCCTATTCTGTAGTCTATTTCTTCTCTTGACCACGGTAAAAAAATGATTGTTAATCACCCAAAGGATGATCAACCAATGAGGGATCTGCAGGATGAATACCAGACCTATAAATGATGGCATCTCAGCCAACCACTAACTGTGATGTTGCACCTTAAAAAATAGAACCTAAATTATTTTGTGAGTTAATTTACTAGCTCCTCATCTAGCTTGAGCTAAACTGGCAATCTGACTTTTCCAATGACATGTTTGCAAGCAGTCCAAGTCAGGACTTAAACCTTTCTCCAAGACACCAGACCAAGAGAATGAGTCTTTATAAAATATTGAATTCTGCCCAAGATATTAATTAAAAAAAGAAGAAATCTTGTGTTCACAAACATACAGTACTATTATTTTCTCATATTAATGTATTCAGTATATTCAGAACCTAGCTATAACTGGTATGAAATTAGTTATCCTACCTGTCTAACTTGCAGCCTGACCCAAAAAGCTTTTTGTTATGCATATTTTGGTTTTATATCATTAAAGTTTTTACTATGTACAGTAAATAGAATACACATAAAAGACTTGAAAGTCATCAAGTACTCTTGCACTTCTGTGTTCTTACAATTTCTGATTGTCAAAGTAAATTAAAACACTGATATCACTACTCTTATAATAATAATAATAATAATAATGATAATAATAATCTATACATTAGAATATGCAGACTATAACAATATATTTAAACTTGCTTTACTGAATGCCTTTCCACTGGTTCAAGCACCAACATGTATTGTTTAGTGTGTGCATGAAAAAATGCATGAAAAGATCACAAGATTTAAATAACAAATGAATCCTCAGCAATTATAATAATATGTATCCAACAAGCTCATTTGCAAATTGAATTAGCTTTCTATTTGTAAATGAAAATATGAAGCTTTGTCAATTTTGTAGGATGATTTTCAGTAGTTTAAATTTAATTTAATTTTTCACACTATTATCACATAGAAATGAAAAATTTGTCTTAAACAGATATTCACCAAACAGTTTGTGACTGCATTTTGCATGTTACTCTTCTGGAAGACAGAGGTGGTAGCTTGGGTTCAACCCCAAGTCCTTGGGTTCAACCTTTATAATCAAACTTACAAAAACATTGTTTAAAAACAAGAACAATTTTAGATAAATAGAAAAGAAAAAAAATATTGTAAAGAATCTTTTTTTTTCAAACAACTCATGAAGTACACTGATCCTACTAAGATCTTGTAAATACATATCATCTACAATATGAAAGGAGGATAAATTGTTCATATATTTCCATTGATCTGAAAATTCCATATTTTATTCTAAAGGTCAGAGAAAGAGTAATCTACGAAGGTGAGAAGTAGCATTAATTCATATGAGAGATACAGTAGACACACACATAACAGGGTGGTTTCGGATGAGATTAATATGCCTTAATACCCTGAAATATAGAGAGAATGAAAGAGAGAGAGTGGAAAGTGCCCCTGAGCAGATAATATAATGATGACTAACACGAGTTGGGCTTAAACTATAAACTGTCAAGCCTTATCTTAAATAATAGTGATTCCAGTGTTAAAATTTCTGAATCACATTAGCCTTCCTTTCCCTGCCTCCAGATTTGTAGGCAGTCTTGTGAGACGGTGCTTCTAATCCTGCTGTTTGAATGACTTGGTGTTCCAATTTAAAATGGATAGGATTTTGTAATGCCAGCAGCCTGGGACTAAGGGATCTTCTTAAGACGAGATTCCCTCCCTCATTAATATGAGATTCCTGTTTACTTATCTGTGCATCGGGAACTGTCCCACATAGAAACACAAATTCAGCTCAGTGAAAAAAAACTGAGAAGAAGTAAATGCCAAGCAGGTACAGTAGCAATCAAGCGAAAGGAGGTATACTCATAGGCCCTGTTCAAAATAAATGCTTAAGCAAGAGTGAGGACCAGGTGGCCCTCATAGGCCCAGGGTTGATGCCAGTAATAAAACATACAGGTCAGAGCACTCCTTTAGGATCGGTCAATCTAAGAATTCCCAATGTACTATCCAGACATGTACATCATCTATTCACTCTGCTGACTAATTGATGACTTTGGTAACCATTTGCTAGTAAAATATTGGGACAGTATTTCTTCCTTTTCTGGTAGATGTTTTTTTTTTAAATGACTTCCCATATCAGTTATTTTTAAATTTAGTCATTTTAGATGACTGATCATTGGCAATGATCAAAAATCAAAAGATTTGCTTTCCTTTTCTTCTTTAAACATGCGGGTACAGTACATTGTTGCTGTTTTCCTGCTTGTACATAACCTTGTGTGGCTCATTATGATTAAACTTAAAATGTTCTGTGCCAATTATTTAATTCTTGTATAGCAAGGTATAACCAAATTAAATATATAATGTATGAGAAACTACTGTACAATGCCATTTTAAACTAAGCAATTATATTTTCAACACATTTTCCTAAAAAAAAACATAAAGGAAAAAGCCAATCAGCCCTTGATCAAAGAATCTCATCCAGTCAGATCCTGAAGGAAGCTATGGTATTAGTTTAATCAGCTTGGCAGGGTAGCTTATTCCAGACTCCCATAACATTTAAGTGAAGAAGTGCCTGTTTCCAGGCAAGAATTTAATTACCCTTGATTTCCTCTTTCCATGCACTGGAAGACAATATCACTCACAAAACCACATATTAATAAATTAAAAGTTGTAACGGAATTAAAAGTCTTTGCAAAGCTTAACAAATGACATCATGGTACTGACGCATGTGTGACTACATTCATGCATGTATCTACTTTGCAATAACAAAAAAAGTCTCTTAGCAGCAGGAAATGTTTATAAAATATTAATCGGCAGTTAAATGAGCTCTCCCCACAGGCCCATTTCTTGATCATGCCCATCAAGCACAAGATTCTGAGGCTGCACAAAGCTCAGTCTCTGCAAAACACTACAGTTTAGATTTTATTGAACTGGAACCCATGATAGCAATTAAGGGTTCACAGATTCTGTGTTAAATGTTAGCCAGTTATACAGCATGTGTTCCCACGTACTGAGTGAACAAACAGCAGGTGATCCTTATTCTCACTCTTGCTGCTCTTATTGCAGAGCCCTGGTGTAGTTAAATGAGTGCCCTGAAATGATTATTCCAACAGCACTGAATATTAATATGCACCTGATCCACAATACCAACCTCCAGTAGTTTAGCCATCCCCCTCGGACCACACCTACACCATCACCATCTACCTCATTGTAATTTATTTATTGTACGT